AAGGCCTCTGACTCTCTCTTGTCCCCAGATTTAACAACTTGGGTGTTCTACATGTGACCAAGAAGAACATGATGGAGATTATGATACAAAAACTTCAGAGGCAGAGACTCCGCTCCAGGCCCCAGGGTCTTACAGGTGTGGGGCAGGGGAGTCATGGGAGGTGCTCATGGAAGGAGCAGGAGGGAGGAGCCCAGGTGTCACACGTGTGCCTACTGCCCAGAGGCCGAGCGGCGCGAGCTGGAGCAGGAAGCCAAGGAGCTGAAGAAGGTGATGGATCTGAGCATTGTGCGGCTACGCTTCTCAGCCTTCCTTCGAGCCAGTGATGGTTCCTTCTCCCTGCCCCTGAAGCCAGTTATCTCCCAGCCCATCCATGACAGCAGTGAGTATCCTGACTGCCGGGTATGCCAGACCTGGGTACCAGAGGGAATATGAGGGGTGACCTCAAGCTGTGGAGTCAGATAGGCCTGGGCTTCTGACCCTGGCCCTGCCACATATGAGCTATGTGATCTTGAGCAAGTCCTTTCCCCCACTGAGTATCGCTTGTGTCTTTGGTCAGTAAGGATGCTAGCAGTTCCTGCATCTCCTGGGGTTGTTGAGATGATGAGTGCAAAGCACCTGGCTTCATAAATGTGGCCATGGCTGTTATATCATCTCAATTAATCTACATCCCAACCCCATAGAGTCTCCGGGGGCCTCAAACCTGAAGATTTCTCGAATGGACAAGACAGCGGGCTCTGTGCGGGGTGGAGATGAAGTTTATCTGCTTTGTGACAAGGTGCAGAAAGGTGAGGCTGGATCCCAGACTGGGAGCTAAAGACATTGGGTATACGATTGGGGGCCAGGGCAGCTCCAGGATAGATGGCCCTGGAGCTGTGGCCAAGCTTCAGTTTTCCCCGTAGATGACATTGAGGTTCGGTTCTATGAGGATGATGAGAATGGATGGCAGGCCTTTGGGGACTTCTCTCCTACAGATGTTCATAAACAGGTACCCAGGGGCCCAGGCCTGGGCTGGGAGCTGAATTAGGCGAAGGCTTCACTGATACCCTGTGTTGTCCCCCCCACACCAGTATGCCATTGTGTTCCGGACACCCCCCTATCACAAGATGAAGATTGAGCGGCCTGTAACCGTGTTCCTGCAACTGAAACGAAAGCGTGGGGGGGATGTGTCTGACTCCAAACAGTTCACCTATTACCCTCTGGTGGAAGGTGGGGCAGGGCTGAGGATCCCAGGGGGCTGGCAGAAGAGGGTTGGCAGGGCTGAGCTAGAGGGTCCCAAGCACTAGATCGGGGGACCCAAGAGCCAAGTCAAGAGTGGGGAGGGTCCCAGGTAGTGGTTCCTAGGAGCCAGCCTGAGGGCTTCTGGGGAAAGGACCCTGAAGCATGACCCCTGAACTGGGGTTTTAACATCCCATTTCCCTCTGCCCCCAGACAAGGAGGAGGTGCAGCGGAAACGGAGGAAAGCCTTGCCCACCTTCTCCCAGCCCTTCGGGGGTGGCTCCCACATGGGTGGAGGCTCTGGGGGCTCGGCTGGGGGTTATGGAGGAGCTGGAGGAGGAGGTGAGGGGGTGCTGGTGGCGGGAAGGGGGATGGAGGAGGGAGGGGTAAAGGGAAGAAAATCGGTGGAAGAAATCTGGGAGGGTCCTGGCTGGTGCCCTCTCCCCACAGCCTTGCCTATACCCACAGGTGGCAGCCTCGGCTTTTTCTCCTCCTCCTTGGCCTACAGCCACTACCAGTCGGGCGCGGCCCCCATGGGCTGCTACCCGGGAGGCGGGGGCGGGGCGCAGATGGCCGCCTCGGCACCTGACGTGGACCCTGTGACTCCCCAGTGCGAACCGCAGGCCCCGGAGATGCTGCAGCGAGGTACGGCCTCCGGCATCCGGGCGGTCGGGACACCGGGGTGGGGACGTAGCCTTTACCCACGGCCCTTGTCGTCCCCAGCGCGGGAGTACAACGCGCGCCTGTTCTGCCTGGCGCGGCGCAGCGCCCGAGCCCTGCTGGACTACGGCGTCACGGCGGATGCGCGCGCGCTGCTGGCAGGACAGCGCCACCTGCTGACGGCCCAGGATGAGAACGGAGACACGTAGGCCGGCGAGAGGGAGGGCTGAGTTGGGGGAGTTCATGGGGTGGGGGCAGGAAAGGGCCCTGGAGCCGGCCAGACCGCGCTTCAAGTCCGGCCTGGCTATTAACTAGCTCTGCTCAAGGTACTTAGTCTCTCAAAACCTCAGTTTTGTCGACCGTGAAATGGGTACAATAATACTACTTATCTACCTCAAAAGGGTGCTGGGAAGGATTAAGTTCAGGTAAACCAATGCCCTTGGAGACGTTCTGGGTTCAACAGGCCCCAGCGAGGGAGATTACAGAGGCAGTGGGGTTTTGAGGGCAGAGGATGCTCTGAGTGGCTGGGCTTGCTAGGCCAGACTCCCTCCCCGCCCCCCAGGCCGCTGCACCTGGCCATCATCCACGGGCAGACCAGCGTCATCGAGCAGATAGCCCACGTCATCTACCATGCCCAGCACCTCGGCGTTGTCAACCTCACCAACCACCTGCACCAGGTGGGGGGGGTACCGGCTGGTGAGGGGTAGGGGTTGGGAGGCAAGTGGGTCTAAGCCAGGGGCAGGCCTGGTTCACCCTGCTTTGTCCCCAGACACCCCTGCACCTGGCAGTGATCACCGGGCAGACGAGGGTGGTGAGCTTCCTGCTGCAGGTGGGTGCAGACCCAGCTCTGCTGGATCGGCACGGAGACTCAGCCATGCACCTGGCGCTGCGGGCAGGTGCTGATGCCCCCAACCTGCTGCGTGCCCTGCTGCGGAGTGGAGCCCCCACCGCGCCCCAGCTGTTACAGCTGTTACACATGCCTGACTTTGAAGGTGAGTTCTCCATCTCATTCGGACTAAGGGGGCAGGAGTGGGGACCAGGGAGGGTATCTGGTGAGTGCCTAGAGTGGACACGTGTCAAGGCTGACTGGTCAGGGCTGGTCCGGAGCTACAGCTGCAGGCTGAGTGTGCTGTGTCCCTAGGGCTGTACCCAATACACCTGGCGGTCCGTGCTCGAAGCCCCGAGTGTCTGGATCTGCTGGTGGACAGTGGGGCCGAAGTGGAGGCTGCAGAACGGCAAGGGGGCCGGACAGCCCTGCACCTAGCCACAGAGATGGAGGAGCTGGGGTTGGTCACCCATCTGGTCACCAAGGTGGGACTGAGGATTGTGGAAGGGGTGGGGCCGAGGGTTGTGGAGGGACTAAGGATGGTGAAGAGGTGCGTGGGAGGGGGTGGCCAACTGGACAGTGCTGTGGTCAATTACTCCCTTGCACCCCACAGCTCCAGGCCAATGTGAACGCTCGTACCTTTTCGGGAAACACACCCCTACACCTGGCAGCTGGGCTGGGATCCCCGACCCTCACCCGCCTCCTTCTAAAGGCTGGTCAGTCTCACCCTTACGGACATTTGAACAGGGTTGGGTGGGGGAGAGGTGCCTCCCAGACTCCCCACTTTGCAGTCCTTAATGTGGGCCCCATTGCACCTCCCGATGACTGCCTCCCTCCCAAAGGTGCTGACATCCATGCAGAGAACGAGGAGCCCCTGTGCCCCTTACCCTCGCCCCCTACCTCTGATAGCGACTCGGACTGCGAGGGGCCTGAGAGGGACCCTCAAAGCAGTTTCCGGGGCCACACGCCTCTTGACCTCACTCGCAGCACCAAGGTGAGGCCAACCTGGGACTAGCAGCAGCAAGGAACAGGGCACCTTCGGGGCATGGGGGTGGGGTCCTGAGTATATGGACTTAAGGCTACCTGGGCTTGGGGACATGGTAGGAGGTAGTAAAGGTGAGGCCGTCTCCCCAGGTGAAGACCTTGCTGCTCAATGCTGCGCAGAACACCCTGGCACCTCCTCTGACCCCGCCCAGCCCGGCAGGTGAGATGTCATCATGTACTCCCAGCCCCCTCCTCACCTAGATGTCTCCTCCTCCAGGACCCTGCAGGATGTCTCCTTTCATCCACCCCGTCCTCAGCCCCCAGTGGCCCTGTCTGACTTCACTGTCAGATCATCTTGGGAGAAAGGCAGTGTCCAGGTGGACCTGTCTCCACCCAACTCTGGAGGTAACTGACATGTCTATATTTATGTCCTCTCAGGGCCAGGGTTGTCACTTGGTGATACAGCCCTGCAGAACCTGGAGCAGCTGCTAGATGGGCCAGAAGCCCAGGGCAGCTGGGCAGAGCTGGCAGAGCGGCTGGGGCTACGCAGTCTGGTGGACACGTACCGAAAGACGGCCTCGCCCAGCGGCAGTCTCCTGCGCAGTTACGAGGTGGGTCGGCCTGCGCCCTGCCCCAGCCCCGGTTTCCCCTCCCCAGTCTCAGAGCCTGATGCGCCCTTGGCCCCAAGGCCCCTGACCCCACACCCTAGTTCACGCCTCAGGCCTCTTCCTTCTCCTTAGCTGGCTGGCGGGGACCTGGGGGGTCTGCTGGACGCTCTGTCTGACATGGGCCTAGAGGAGGGAGTGAGGCTGCTGAGGGGCCCCGAGACCCAGGATAAGCTGCCCAGCACAGGTAAGGGGGCTACCTGGAGGGTGGATCTGGGCTGGAGGCTGAGAGGCTTGTGGCCTCGTCAACCCCCTTTTCCTTTCCCCTCTGCCCTCCCGCCCCGACAGAGGTGAAGGAAGACAGTGCTTACGGGAGCCAGTCGGTTGAACAGGAGGCAGAGAAGCTGGGCCCACCCCCTGAGCCACCGGGAGGGCTCTGCCATGGGCACCCCCAGCCTCAGGTGCACTGAACTGTCGCCCACGCACCAGCCCCCTTCTGGACTCTCTGTACAGCACCCCCACCTCTTCCAAATCTTATTTAACTCCCCATGCCCACCCCTCAGTTCGGGCAAATAAAGGATTCTCAAGGGAAGGGGAGGGTCCCCTTCCCAACTTATGGCAGTCTCGATGTGACTCTTGTCCCTGGAAGCAGCCACCTACCCTGGCCCCAAGCCAGGCACTGGAGAGCAGAGAAGGAGGAGGCCCAGTCGGCAAGTCCAGAGCAGTTTAATGGGGCGGAGGCTGTACAGAGGGCAGGGCCCACTGAGGAGGGAAGGCAAGGCCGCACTGTCCCTGGCCCACGTACCAGGCCTTGACGTGGATGCCCTTCCTCCACCTCTGGAAGGAGAGAGGGTGAGCCCTTGGGGAGGAAGGAGGGAAAACCAGCTCAGCCCCAACTCCTGGCCTCTGTCTGAGCCAGGCCCCAGGACGAAGGGGGATTGCTGGTGTCAGGGTGGGGGTGGTCTCAGCAGAAAGCGGAAACGTTGTCAGGCCTCCCCCACGCAAAAAGAAGCATCAAAAGTTCAGGGGCACTGGCCCCTCCTGCCCCCACCCCCGCCCCCCCAGTACGAAAAAGTGCAAAACATTATCACAAAAAGGGGGTCTCCGAGGGGCCCTCAGTGTAGGCTCCTGAGGCCCATGCCCCAGCCCTGCCCTGCCCCGGACACCGCGTCCGGCGCGGTCGGGCCCTGGGCCACAAGGCCCTCATGGGTGGCCCGAGGCCGGCCCGGGCTCAGGCAGGGCCGTGTCATCCTGCCGGTGCCCACCTCCACCCCCACCTCAGGGCTTCCTTCGCCCACTGCCTGTCCCTGCCCGAGACTCTGAGCCGTGACGAGCCCGGGGCTGGCTGGAGGGGTTGGGCTGCAGGGAGGGACTGGAGTGAGATGGGGGGAGTCCGTCCTCCACGCTCCCGGCCTGGGCCAGTGCTGCCTCAACGGCGTCCAGCTCTTCGCTGCCCGCCTTCAGCTTGACCCGCAGCAGCGCCGCGTACGTGCCATAGCGGGATTTCTGAAGAGAGGCAGGGCTGTGAGAGCCCGCTCTGCCCCCTCCGCCCATCCCACCCCATCTGGACAGGGAGGGCCACCAGAGAAGGCTAGGAGATGGTAGGGTCCTGCCCACCTCTGAAGCCCCAGAAGCCCCCAAGGACCGTGAGATGGCCCCCTGGCAGGTTGGTCACCCTCTCTGGGCTCTCTCAGGACTACTAACTGCAACAGCTAAAGTTTCTTGAGGCTTTACCAGAGTTGGGGAACACAGCACTTTACAGACATGTCACTTCACGACCCTAGTGGGTGTGGAATGTTGTCTTTGTTCCACAGAAGAGGAGACTGAGGCTCAGAGAGAGTCAGCAGCCTGCCCAACGTCATCCAGCTGGTCCCACTCTAAAGAGCCCATGCCCTTCACCCTAGTCCGAGCCCGTGTGTGGTGACAAAGAGGTACCCAGGCAGGGAGGCTCACCTCAAACTCCAGGTAGGCCTCCTTCTGCCGCTGCTCATCAGCCTCCTTGCCCCGGGCCTTCTTGCTCAGGTGGGCAGCCCGGTGCTCCCGCAGCTCACTTGCCATGGCCTTCAGCTTGGCCTCGTGGGTCCGCACCTGCTCCTCCTGGCAGCCGAGGGAAGCACAGTCAGGGTCACTCCAGCCCATACAGTGCCTTTGTGCAAGTTTTTAAAAAGATGCCCCTTCCTTTGGACAAACAAAGCACCACGTCTGGGTAACCAGCTGGCAAGGGGAGTGGGGGTTGGGTTTCAGCCTCCACTCGCCCCCTGTGGCCAGTGTCCTGGTGCAGGGGACAGCCACGTGATCATACACAGCAGCTCAGAGTGCAGTCAGCCTGGGCCTGCCCCCTCCACCTCACTGGTACCAGGTGGACTGAGCTGGGGCTACCTGGGAGAGGCGGGTGGCAGCGCTGGGCAGGAGAGGGCGGCTGAACTTCTTCTGGGAACTAACAGCAGCTGGGAAGGGGGGTGCAGAGAACATGGCAGCCACCACATTGATGCGAGTGATCCAGGACTGCATCTGCTCCAGGCTCCTGGGGAGACAGCACAGCCCCTTGGGACCTGGGCCCAGGGTTCTGGGCCTGAAAAGGAATGAGGCAATCCAGGGACAAGGGAGGGGAGCAAGACGGAAGGTGGGGTGAAGGAGTCCAGGATGGGCAGCAGGAAGGCACTCACGGGGCCTGGAAGAGGAAGACCCGCCAGTCAGCTGTGCGCAGGTAGAAGACATGGGGCCTCTTGCTGTAGTCGCTGGCTCGGGTGGCCAGGGCGTGGTGGATGCTGATGGCATTCTTGAGCTCTGCCTCCGAAAGGGCCTTCCCTGGCTGGTACTCCTCCTGCAGGGGTGCCCATCTTGTCCTGGCCCCAGTCCCAGCCCGGCCCACCTATGCCCCCCCGCGGCCAGTCCAGCCCCAACCCTTTGGCCTGGCCCCTCACCTTCTGCAAGTAGAGGATCATGCCCTTGAGGATTCCGTGGAAGCTCTTCCAGCCCCGCTTGCCCCGAGGTGCTGGGGGAGGGAAGACAGGTCAGGGGGGCCAGGGACAGGCCCACTCCCATCCATCCCCCAGCCCCTTCCACCTGGCCACATACTCTTCCTGCAGTCGGGGTCTGCGTGCACCTTTCGCACCAGGGCCCCGTGCTTGTAGACGGCGGCCCCAGGCTCCGGAGTCAGGTCCAGGAAAGGGCTGGAGCCGCTGCCACTGCCCCCGCTGACCCGCTTGATGACCTTGGGGTTGGGGTCGGCCAACTCAGACAGAGAGCGTCTCAGCTCCTCCTCGTCTCTGCAGGCGTGATCACCTCAGTGGGGGCTGGCCATGGAGCCATCACCCCCCCTTCAGTCCTGGCCTTTGCCCACCTGAAAGCCCCTTCAGTGTTTGTGGAGATGCTGGGGGGGGGGTCCCATCACCCTGAGGACGCTGTCATGTCTCCCACCTCAGAGTGGGTCTCCCCGCCTCAGAGCAGGGCACCCGGAGGCAGGCTGTCTCCTCCCTGAGATCAGAGCTCTGCAGCATAAGGCCACAACTGTCCCTTCCTCCCCTCACGTGTCGCCAGCCCTGTCCTCTCCATTTCTACATACACCCCAACCCTCACACCCTTCTCCACCAGGACAGACACATGTCTGACTCAACTCTGTCTCAACCACACCCAGCACTAGGCTTTGCTCATAGCGTGTTGGCTAAATGGTGGCAGAAGAAGGAAGAAGCAGCTTCCTAGTGCCCCCCCCACCCCGTACATCCTGGTTTGCAGGCTCTGTCAGATAAAAAATTGGATTCTATCTTGCCATTACCCTGCTCAAGAACCTGCAGTAGCTCCCTACTGCCTCCCACCTGGAGCCTACACTGCATCTCCCCCAACATCGTCTTCTTCCACGCTCCATTCCAGGCAGGCCTGCCCCGTCATGGTCTCCCACTCACACTCACATCAGCCACCACACCTTTGCCTCCCAAATACCAACTTCCCCTTTTCTCTTCCCAAATGTTTCCCCTCCTTCGAGACTTGTGTCAGTCCCAAGCCTCCAAAAAGCCTTCCCTGATCTCCCCCTGCACCCTAATCCTGAGCTCTGCCTCCTGTGAGGTCTTCTCTACTAACCGGAGCTCCTAGCTAAACTGCACAGTGGCTCTCAGCAAATACCAGCGAATACAGCAATCTACTGGCTGTTACAATGAGAGCTGCACCCTCAGACTGGGGGTCCCAAGCCCAAAGTGGACCTCCTCTCTCAGACTGCACTCTCTAACACTTTAAGCCTTGCTGTTTCTATTGGGGGCTGCCAAGAATAGACAAGAATAGGTTCCTTGTTCTGTGATATCTGGGCTTCCTAGGACCTAAGTAGGGCCACTCGTGCTACTGGTCAGGGCCCTACTTCCACAGGCTTCTGCTTTCCCACTAGGGTTGCCAGGGGACCTCCCTTTTATGTTTCAGCACACACACCCCCAACCCCAGCTTGTCATAACAACCCAGCTAGAGACAAGACGCAGAGCCCCAGGTCCAGGCAGCATCTCCAAAGAAGGAAGTGAGGCAGCTTCACTGTCTCTCATGAACTCTCACCCCTCCCCTGCCCCACAGCCCCAGGACTCACAAGATCCACCCAATTCTCCTGGCCCCCCCAGGTAGCCCCTTCCCCAAGCCCCACCCCTAACCCACCACTCAGCCCCAGGACTCACATGGCCCACTGCAACTTCTCATTCTTGATGGAGCTGTACAAGGCCTGGGGAGGGAGGAACAAATCAGGGGGCTGTGGGTCAGTCCTGGGGGAGGAGGCACCATGTACCCCAATGTCAGAGCCCTCCCTCCCAACTTGGGAGAGAAGACAGAACTAAGGGGGAGGGGCAGCAGAGTATAATGACCAAGAACACAGGCTCTGGACAAGGCCCAGCTCCACCACTTTAGCTACATGATGCTGGGCAAGTATCCATGGGGAAGAACGAACGTAGTAACACGTGGGCACAAGCAGTTCGCACAGGGCATCCTGGCACAGGTTGACGCACAATAAAGGTAGCTGCCATTATCACCTTTATTATTGTTAAGGGGCTATCCTGCTCAGACCTTGGGCCGAAGGACGGCCCTGGAGGGGATGGGAAAGAGCAGCCCTAGGAACTCTCCCTCCCCCAACCACATGCTTCGGCCTGTTTCCACAGGATAAATCCACACACAGCATATGGGGAAACTGAGGCCCCAGCATAGAGGACTTACCCTCTCAGCTTATTCCTTGACTAACAGAGAATACACTGTCATGGCTTCCAACCCCAGGACAAACTGAGGCCCCCCTAACCCAGACAGCCCTACCAAGCCAATCGCCAGGGCCATCCAGCTCCTGCCTGTGTGCACGCACACATCATGTTGCTGGGGAGTGAACACTAGTCTAAAGGCAGCGGCTTTAGCTTCCAATCACTGCCCAGCCCAAACTTCCTGTGAGCTTCTGAAGCAGTCATTTCCTCTCCATATAGGTGGCCTGGAGGACACTTGGGAGGCTTGAGGTGGTCAGAGGAGAGAATAGGCTCCATGAGCAGTGTAGGGGACCCCTCTTCTTGGGAGTAGCCTGGAACATGGGTCCATGCCAGCGCCTCCAACTGTGGGGGTGCTTCCGCCAGCCTGTCTGAGTGGGTGTGTCCCCAGCATGTGCGTGTTGGGCTAAGTGTGTGGCATGTGATGCTGCCTGCATGTGAGCTGGGTGCAATGGTGACGTCGGCACCTTCCCTGTGATGGGACACAGCCTTCATTCCCTCCAACACACCACAGTCTCTGACTCTCTCTCGCTGCCCACAGCCATGCCCAGCCACAGGGCTAGCCAGGTATCCCACCCGCACACACCCTGTCCACACCCTGTCTGGGGGTGGGTGCACGCCACAGCCTCCACCGCCGCCCCAGCACAACCCAGGCTAATCAACACATAGCACTTCCAGCACATACGGAAGCCCAAACGCAGCATGGCTTAGTCCCCTAAACCCTCACTCCCCAACTCTCTGGCCAGGAGGCTTAAGTGGCCACCAAGATCCAATCTGCAATCCTTGTCTCCAGCCTTCTAGTTCGTCCCCTGCCCCATCTCAGGACCCCCTTTGGCCCACAAACACACCTTCCTTGGAAGGTCCTGAACCCCATTGCAGAGTCCCATGTCATGCTCCCATCTAGAAAACCCTCTTCCTCCCCAAAGACCTTTTGGTTAGTGAAGCCCACATTGGTCCAACGGTCTGTGCCTTCCCTGTCGCCCTCAGTCCATACCCGTGAGCTCTGTCCCTGCCAGGCTCCCCCCTTGGCCCCATCGATGCTCCCCTGGGCTCCTGCCGCCCTCGGTGCCTCCCTCAAGCCTCCTCCTCGGTCGCCCCCCCGCCTGGCGTGGGCCGCGGCCCGAACGCCCTCACCGCCTTTTTCTTCTTGCGGCTCTGCAGGCGGCTGACCACCAGGTCGGTGTAGAGCACGGGCTTGAGACTGCGAGAGCGCTGCGGCCAGCCGTAGCACAGGGTCTCCGCGCCGCGGTGGGTGCGCCCGTAGCGCACGGAGCACAGCGAGCGCGAGCGCAGCCGCCCGGCGCTGCTGTGAATGCTGTTGACGCCGATCATGCTGGCCCGGCCGGAGCGCCGTGGCCCCCGGCCATGCCCCCGCCCGCCCTTGGCCCCCGGGCCGCCCCGAACGGCCAGCGGACGGCTCCCCCGACAGCCAGCGCGAGCGGCGCGGCGCGGCCCGAGCCCGGCCCGGCCCGGCCCGGCTCCCACCGACGCACGGAGCGCGCGGCGGCGGCGGCGCTGTCTGCTCTGCAGCTCGGCGCGAGCGGGAGGGGGGCGCCGACGGGGAGGGGAGGACGAGGGCTGGGGGCGGGGACGGCGCGAAATGCAGGCGCCCGACCGTGAGGGGGGCCCGCCGCGCCACCACCGGGAGCGGCCTGGGGAGGCCAGTAGGGGCGCTTGCGTGGGGGCGGGCGGCTCGGGCTGCTCCGGGGAGACTGGCAGGGGGCGCTGGGAGCTCTAGGCCTGGGGCGTGAAGGTGGGCTGACCTGTAGGGTCTGGAACTCCCTCCTGGCTCCTCGGGATGGGGGTGGGGATGAGGGGAGGGGTCGGACCGCCGGCCCGGGGGCCCTTTGACACTGAGTCGGGAGGGCACTCGAGGCAGGATGGATGGAGGCAGCCAGGGAATAGCCCTGGCCTCATCCAACTCACCCGCAGATACCCGCCAAACGCCCCATATATATCCCCACTCACGACCACATACCCCAGTTCACGCATACACCTCAACTAACCACACGCACCAATTCACAGTCACACCAACTCACAGACACTTCAAACGCAGATGTACACCTCAAATGTACAATCTTTAACTCAACATACACCCCCTACTCACAGGCATATGTCAAAAATCAGACACATCCAACTCGCAGACGTAGAACCCATCCCACAAACACCCAGCCTACACCCCAACTCGGATACACACTAAATTATAAGCCCTAAAGCACAAATACCCCAAGCCATACAAACCCCTTGATTCACTGATGCCCCGTCGCACATAAACAACTCGGGCATACACCCAAACTCATCCAACACCTCAACTCACAACAGACACCCCCATTCAGACGCATCCTCAAACTCAGAAGCCCAATACACCCCAAGCTTGTCACAGACACGCCCTACGACACTCCTGTGCAGTTACATATATGTAGCGGCCCAGAGACACCTTTGTCCAACCCTGGGGGTTTCTTCCAGTGAGCCCAGGACTCCCCGGCATAAAACACCACTCGATCGGGGACAGGAATGAACCCACGGGACTGGGACGCCCCCTTCTCCTCCCACCCCCACCAGCCCCTGTGTATCATCTGACCCCTCAGGTGATGGCGCTGGAGCTGAGGCCTGGGCCTGGGGCCTGCCCACAAGGGAGCCAGAAGCGCAGAATCGAGTCCCAGCTCTGCGCCAACTTGCTGCGCAACCTCAGAAAAGCCTTTGTCCCTCTCAGGCCCCCTCTACCTCCGGGTCCCTCCAGCGCATCGGTACGAGGAAAGTCTTTGTGGCTGTACACACTGGGGTGGGAGCGGTGTGCCTGAGTACCCTCTGCCCCATGCAGGGACCCCCTTTCACCCCCAGTGCACCCTGGACGAGGGGAACCGACAAGGCAAAGGCAGGGTGCAGGACCGCCCTCTCAAGTGTTTTCCAGAGCCGCTCCCCTCCCCCGCCGCGCGCAGCCGCGATTGCACGCGTGTGCGCATGTTCCGGGAGAGCCTGCGTGTGGGGGCTGGGGGAGGGGGCGGTCCCCAGGCTGAGTCACGAGAGCCCAGGTTCCCGCAGCAGGAACCCGGGGCCTCAAAGCCCCACCCCTGCCCTCCCTCCGACTCTGCTGCCGACTGGGTCCTCCATCCTTCCCCTCCAGCAACTTCTACGCTGCCCCGCCCCCCACCTTGAGCAGCTCCCTGGGGAAGTCTCCGCCATCGTTGAGGCCCTCCAGGTTCCCGATGAAGTCCCCGCAGGTCATGCGCTTCCCGATGTTCTAAGGGAGGGAACAGAGGCCTGTGACCCTGGAGGGCCCTGGGCCTCCCCGGCCTTTAAGTGTCTGGAGAAAGGTCTGTTTTCCCGGCTCCTGCCTGTGCGCCCCCCACTCACGTGGCCATGGAGATCCGTGTTGAGTAGCATGAGAGCGCAGGTCAGCGTGTGGGCACCATCTAGGGAGGAGCTGACATTCAGCCACCGCCACTTCCCAGGGACTCTTCCCACAGCCATCTTCCCTAGCCTCATAGTTCGTGCCCCCCACCCACCGTTTCAGGGCCCCCTTTGGCCCACAACCACCCACTCCTACGTCCTGAACCCTCCCCAGAAAAGACCTCCTCCTCCAGCAGATCTCTCAGCAAGGACCTCTCCCTTTTCTCAGGACCCCTTTCCTAGCTCCCTAAGGTACTGGGGGCGGCCCACTGCTTGCCCCCACACTCACATGCCTCTATGCATTGAACACAAGCAAGTCAACCCCACACTTACGTAGATCGCTGCAGCCAGGCAGAATCCCCACTCAAGCCAAGCACTGTCCTGCACGTGTATGTGACCAACCGCATACAAACCCCTGCCTCTTCACAACACACACTTTACCCTAGCAATATGCCTGCCCCATGTATAGTTCCACATACATGTAGCCATGCCAGCACTGTCTGTGCACATGCATGTTCACATGCCTACACATTCATTCCCTCTTGCACACATACTCATGCTCCTATACACACACTCAGTGCCAGCCCATCTGCCTCTGGCCAGCTGGGACAATCCTGCTCTCGGCCTCCTTACCCTCTGAGGACAGGGCTTCAGGATTGCACTGGAAGTATCGCTGAGAGAAGTGGGCCAGCACACGCTCCCGTTCCTGGGTCTCACCCATTAAGGCCAGCTCCTTCAGAAACACCCTTGGGACAGGGAAAGAGGGAGGATATCATCCCTACCCAAGGTTCCCTTACCAGCTTGGGCAGGGTGATGTCAGCTCAGGGGAGACCCAAGGGCTCAGAGGAGGCACAGCTGGCACCTTGTACACCAAGCCTAGAGACTGGGGGCCTGTCCTCAATTGGCTGCACACCCACCTGAGAGCTTGGTCCAGAGTCATGCCCGTGAAGACAAAGAACTTGAGGTACTCCCCAGCCACCAGTTTGCTGAAGTCATTGCTGTGGGCAGGGCAGAGAAACAGGTGGGGTCTCAAGAGGCAGTGTCAAGGAGTCAGCTGAGGGTTACCTAGAGACCCAGGGGCACTGGATGGAGAGGATGTGGAGGTGCTGTCCCCAGGATGCATTCCCTCCACCCCCTTCCTCAGTCCCAGTCCAGTGGCTTTACTTCTTGCCCAGGTGCCTGGCCACATCGGCCTTCCTGAAGCCATCTAGTCGGTACAGCCTCTTGGCCAGGCGCTGTGCGGCCTCCAGATCCGCTTTCTGCCCGTTGGACAAGGTGTCCGTGCTTCCCAGGGCCAGCCGCTCTGTGCTGTCCAGTTCTGAATCCGAGTCAGATACCAGCTGGCTCAGGGGTAGTTCGCTGCCAGGGTAGAACACCACCAGGTCAGGGGTGGGGCAGGGCCCTCAGAGGCCATCTAGTCCCTCCCTCTGCCTCCAGGTCCAGAAGATGGGGAAAGGGAGAGAGGGACATGGGGAGGGCATTTTTCTTTTCTTCAAGGAAGGAGACTGTACACGTTGTGTCCATCAGTCTATTCTATCATTACCACCTGTCCATAGAAGTCCTGCCTCAAATCTAACCCACATCCATCTTGTTGCTGTGGGAGTTCTGGCTGCTTCCCCTAAGTTTCCAGAGGCCTAAGTTTGCTATTAGATATAGACCACCATCCCTACACTGGCCCTACTCATAGTCCTCTGTCTCTGAGACTATGGACAAAGGCGGAATAGATGGGTTGCAGGGAGGAGCAGTGGAGGGTCAGGCAAAGATTTGAGGGCAGCAGGGACACCCTCCTGCTCCTAAGTCTTTCTTCCTCCCACTGTTTAGGGAAAGGAGTCTCTCCTTGGTGCTCCCCAAAGAAACAGCCTCTGGGGTTAGGGAGACTGGGGGTCAGGGTGCACCCCTCATCCTCTTTCTCTCCTCCTCTTCCCTTCCCACCCCAGCTGCTCTACTGGCAAAGCCACCTGTCACCCCAGAGACAAGAGGCCGGAAACTCCTGGTTGCTAGGCAACGCTGTCTCCCTGGCCACCCCCTCCTGTTGCCATGGCTTCCATGACTGAGAGGGTAGCTGGCAGAGTGGAGAGCAGAAAGGTTAGACTGTGAAAGGACTTCCTGGAGCAGGGTGAGAGATGCCTGATTGGGCAGGGGGCAACATGGGAGGGAGGCAGTGGGAGAGGCTGGTGGCTCCATCTTTGGTGAAGCCTCCAGGCTGGGTGGGGTAAGATCATGGGAATTCTAAGCAGGTTAGAGACTGCCTGGAGAGGAAAGGGCGCTCCAGGGAGAAAGGAGGATGTTCTCTGGGGATCCTTCAGTCCTGACTCATGGTTTCTCAAGTCACTGGATTTGAGACCAGAGGCGCTATCATCCAAATGGGAAAACAGGCATCTGTACCCCATAACCACCCCTAGTCAGGGGTCAGGAATATTAACTACATCCTCACAGTCAGGATCTGTCCCTTAAATCAGTTCTGGGACAGTGATGGGGCTCCAGGGGCCTCAGATCTGAGGGACCAAAGTAACTACTCACCTGCCAAGGGGTGCCGCCCCCAGCCCAAGGCTGTCATCTGAATGGCAGGGACTAGGGGGCTCCCTCTCTGGGGCCAGTTTGGCTCTGGCCTCTGCCTCTTCCTCCTCCCCTCTCTGTGTCCAAGGACCATCAGCAGCGGAGCTGGTACCAGAGTCCAGTTCCAGAGGGGCAAGCGGGGCAGGCGCAGGTGGGTCAGGCCGCAGGGTCGGGGGTTGGGGAGGCAGCTCAAAGGTGAAGAAGGGGCTCTGGGTTGGGCCAGGTGAGGCCAGGGCCTCCAGCGAGGCGAGGCTGGTGTAGGAGGTGCCCTTGGCCCGGTGTGACTCCAGGATGGCTTCGAACACACAACTGAAAGAGTCAGGCCCGTCGGCCGAGGGGCTGGTCCCAGGTAGAAAGGGCACAGGAGATTTGAGAGGCCCGGTGTGAGGCAGCCGGCTCCCTGGCCTGCAGGGGCAGGGGAAATCTTTGATCAGGGGCCCAGAGGACAGATCTCAGGCAGGATTTCATTGAACACAGCTGACTCTGTTAAGGGGATTATCTTCCCCTTTTCACAGGCTCCTAAGCCCCTAACAAAAAAGACCCTCTTGGTATAGGATCCAAGATATTCAGTGCCCCTGGGGCATCCCAGCCCTACCAGTCCCCAGCACCCCATCCTCTCTCTCCCTCCCCCCTGCCTCCCTGCTAATCTCCCTTTCTCCTCCTTTTCCCTGATCCGCTTCCCTCCTGCCATCCCATTTCTATTTCTGGCAACATCTTAGGAGAAGATGAGGCTCCAAGCTGCAATGGGGTGTGAGACGGAAAGGAAAGCCCCACATGCCCCACTCTCCCACCAGGACCCAGGATCTGGACTGCTGACCCCTGATCCCCAGGCTTGATCCTGGCCTCTGGCCTGGCACCTGACCCCTGTCCTGCTAGAGTTCCTTGCCTCCTTTTCCTGGCTGCCCCGACCCCCCTGTGTTCTTGCTGATACCAGCTCCCCACATCCTCAGTGTTGCGCCAGGCCTAGGGCCTCTGTGCAGAATCTCCTGCTCCCCACTCTGCCCTGCAGCACCACAGCCTGGCCCTGCAGCTCCTGGCCCCGTCCTCATCTATCCCAGTCCCTTTGACCCAGCTTGGCCTCTGGGCCAGTGGGAAGGAGCAAGCCACTTTCTCCCCCACTCCCTTACTCACCGGGCCCCCTCTGAGGCCTCAAACACCTCATCGTCCACATCCTCTTCCCCGCCTGCCTCATCCTCATCTTCATTGCCACTGCCCAGGCTGGAACGAGGGCCAGGGCCTGGGCCGGGCCGGGGGGCAGGTGGGCGGGCAGTGCCAGGCAGGCCCTCAGAGCTGGGCTGGCTCTCGATGGCCGAGTCAGCCTCCTCCCGCTCAGCCAGCACCTCATCGATGTCAGTCTCGCGGTAGCACCTCAGGGGCACCGTGTCCAGGTCCGTCTCGGAGTACTTGGCTGCTCGCCCCACAGCCACCCCAGAGCCCTGCCCTGAGCCCACCCCAGGAGGAGATGGGGGAGCCCGCTCTGGGGGCTTAGCACCTGTAGTATGCATAGCATCCAGGTCAGGACATTGTCCTTGTCAGCTCCCTGTCCTGACCCTGTTCTCAGAACCCTCCCCACTGCCTCATATTGGCAGAAGTCCTCTCACTGTCTTGCCACCACTCCTCCTGCTACAAACTTAGCTTGTTCCTGGTGCCAGTGGAGCTCATTTCAAACCAAGTTCTTGTCAAACAGCTTGGAGGAGCCTGAAGGAGACTTGCCTCTTCACTGCATGGAATGACCACTGACATCCTCCCTCCTCTCCCTACACTACCCAGCCTCCTCCAGGTGCCCCCCAGCCCTATCCTCCAGGTGCCCTCATAACACAGATGGAAAGGTTGAGGCCTAGGGCGGCCTGGCTGATTCAGGAGCCCAGGAAGGGACCAGGGGAAGTTTGAAGGCAGGCTCCCTCCCAAGCCTCAGCCGACTTGGGGACGGCCCTGCCCTGTTCTCCTTGCCCCAGTCCTGGCCTTACCTGAGCTGGGGGGGTCCAAGGAGCCATAGAAGAATTCCCATTTGGCTCGAGCAATTCTCTGGGCATGAGAGGAAACTTCCCGGGGGGAGGACCAGGTGTCTCCCTGAGCCAAGAGGGAGACACAGGCACCCAGAGAAAAAGCCAGACATACAAGGACACAAGAATATGGGACAGAAACACAGAAACAAAAACACACAGTGACAGAGATGGAGGTGTAGAGACACAGGTTAGACAAACACAGAGGGCAAGAAGGAGACATATTTAGGACAGATTAAAGGATTCGGAGTGGACAGCAGACAGGCCCAAGTCTGACAGGGGTCCAAGCCTTGCCCCTTCACTGGGTCACTGGGGTCCCAGGGAGCCCAAGGGAGGTTGCATACCTGGTTCAGTAATCCAGTGTCAGCAGGTCCTCGGAATAGCGTGGCCAGGTGCTCAGGGGGCCCCCCCAGCCCATTGGGGAGAGAGGAATAAAGGCCATCTGTCCCAACCTGGGGTGGAACTGGTGGCCCATGTAAAGGGTCCCGGCCGCAAGGAAGGGCTGAGCCTCCTCTGGCTGGGAGTGGGTCTGACGTGGATGCCTCCAGCCGTAACTTGCGATTGGAGACAGGCCCAAGGGCTGGGGCGGGCCTAGGAGGAGAAACCCCACCCAGATCCCAGCTCCGACTCAAGCCTCCGGGAGCAGGTAGCCCATTCAGTGGCCTCACGCTGGCCTTCTCCACAAAGCGGAAGATGACCACGGAGCTCTGGGCCCCTGGTGGGGGCTGCCCAGTGGGTGAAGAGGGTGCCCAGGGTGAAGGAGCAATGCAGGGTGAGGGGGGGCCACGCAGAGGTGTACAAGGTGCTGTCACACGTCCCAGTTCCCGGCCTCGGGGACCTGGACCTGCCACTCGTCGTAGCAAAGAGCCTGTGCTGCCATACATGCTGGCTGGGGGGCTCTGGGGCACCGGACCTTCGGGAAGCCAGCGGCGTGGGCATCGTGGTGGGGAAATGGCACAGTCGCCTTCCGAGCAGAAGCGCATGGCACCCTGGGCCATGCTGGGGCCGGGGGGTCAGGCTGGGGGGGCAGGGATGGCGAGGCCAGGCGGGGAGTGAGGGGGCTGCATGCTCTTCAGACAGGCCTGTAAGAGAGGAAGGGGAGCAGGATGAACTGCCAGGAAGTTAGATGGGTGGGACAGCAGAGACAGGGAAGGGAAAGTTGGCTGGGGCATCTGAGCACCAGGGACCTAGCCCTCCCTGGGAATATGGGATCACTGATCCCAAACCGGGGGCTACTTCCATGGAGACCTGAGGAGAAAAGAACTGTACACCCAGTGGGCCCCTGGATCCTCTCCTTCTGCCTGGGGGCCCTGAGGATCACCCTTGGGGGAGAGAGGAAGCTATTCCAGAAGTTGAGTGAGCCCAGAGTTACTGTGGCACTTTGGAGCTACTTCTGGTGTGGGGGAGCTGGTACCCCACCCTCTGGATCAGGATTGTCAGCCAACCATCACATCATACAGCTCTGGGTCCGCTACAGTCCCTCTTATGGAGCCCCCTCACTCAGGAAAGGGGAACCCAGGTCTCCTGGAAGGAGAGGGAGGAAGAATGGGGGTTATATAGGGACGACGAAGGGCTTAGAGGCACAGGGTGGAGGGGAGGAGAAAGGCCTGAGCAGTGATCCCTATCCCCAGTACATATATGCTGAATGGCAAAGGGACATTCTTGTTCTCCACACAGGTACAGACTGGCACATGCACACACACACATGCACCCATGCACACACACACACACACACATAAGGACAAATATGTCAGTACACAGTTAAACACATTCACAGGCAACACCCTCCGGCACACACAGGCAGACACACATATTGCTCAAAGACACACCCTCATGCACTCTCACAGTCATAACAAATATGTGTGTAATAGAAAGGCACATGCTTGTTTTACACACACACCATCATCAAAGAGGAACACACAAAGAGATACCCAAATATATACACAGGCTCTCATTCTCCAATACACACAGAGATCCAGGTGTATCAGACACTCACAGAGACATACTGATCACAGTCACATACAAACACAGATGTACATTTACACGCATACTCAAGCAGGGATGCATACCCTCCCCCCGCTTCCAGTCCCTGGGGTCTCCTAGGGCGGGGGAAGACTGCACCACATCTTTCTCCTCCTCCTCACTCCCCAGGAGTATGACAGATCTTGTCCAGCCCAGGAGGGACCATAAAGGGGTAATGGGGCCTCTGGTGGCAACACAGGGTAGGGGCAGAGGTCAGGAGCAGCAACCCGGCCAGGCAGATTCCGGAAGCTCAAAGGGGGCCCAGCGCAGTTCTCTGTGCAGCCCCCACTCAAAGCCACCTCAGTACTCACCGCTGCTCGCCTGGAGCTGAGACCGAGGAGAGGCAGAGGAGAGGCTGGGCCCTGCTCAGCTGTGAAGGCAGCGCGGCTCCTGCTTGCTCCAGGCCCGCCCGCCTCTCAATCCCTCCTCCTACCCCCTGCGCGCTGCTCAGGCAACGCTAATCCCCCCCACCCCCCGCCCTCTCCCAGGGCCCTGAGCCCCGGAGGCTGCCAGCCTCCCTCGTCACTAGGTCTCCGCTGAGCTCTCCCGCCAACCTAAGACCCGCCCCAGACAAGGGGGAGGGCGCATGGAACCCCTGGTTCTATTCTCCAGACCCTCACGTGCCCCACCCCACTCGTGTCTACGTCTTTCTCACCCACTGACCCCTGTGCCACATGTATGGCCCAGGTGCACACGCGTGTCCCGCTCCAGACTCCACGCGTGTCCCTAGGAGGCTGCCACATGACCTGTTACATGCCACACGCGCTCCCGCCCCCACGAGCACGCGGACGCGCCAAGCACACGGTATGGGTGTAGACCAGACCCGCCTCTTAAATCCAGGAGACCATCAACTATGGAAGGGAGATATAGGGAACGCAGTCTTGAACCCCTTGGGGTTTTGAGTCTTGGACCCAGGAGACCCGACCCTGACCACCCACCCTAGCTAGGTGCAGCAGGAGGGATGTTAAGCCAGACTTCAGGAAGAACTTCCTTACTGCCTGAGCCGGTGGCCCTCCCGCCTAGGGGTAAGAGGTTAGATGGGATGACCCCGGGACTGGAAGAAGTGGGGGACAGGCAACCCTGGTGCCCTTGACCAGGGTAGAAGGGGTCCTGGCTATTTTAAGAAAGCGCCGCTCGAGTTACTATGGCAACTACTCTCCTTTGGAAGGCCAGGATGGGAAGGTGGCGACCTCGGAAGGAAGAAGGGGTCTGTTTGGGCGGTCAGGGGGCGCAAGGACGTGCGAGGCGGGGGCGCGCGGGGCTCACCGCGGGGAGGGGTGGCGCGGGCTCCGCGTGGTGCTGAAGGGGACAGCGCCAGATTTGTCGCACTGCGCAGGCGCAGAGGCGCGAACAAAGAGGGGAGGGGGAGGAGGCGCGCAGCCGGAGGTGGTGCGCGCTCACGTGGCTCTATCTTTTCAGGGGTCAATCCTCCCAGCTACCCACTCCCGTGCAGGCTAAGGAAGAAGAGGAAGCAAGCCCCTCACCTAACTTGACCTTCTTCTGGTCCTTCCCGATACCCTTCTAGCTGCGCTGGCGGGTGGGGGAGCATGGAAGGGATTATGGGAAAACCAGATGTCTGCGTTCTCTATCTGTGTCTCGCCTGAATTCTGGACAAGGCGCTTCCTCTCCAGGGCCTCAGTTTCCCTATCTGTAAAATGGAGTGATAGCACAGAACTGCCCACCTTGCAGAGGCGCCCGAAGCCCTGATGGGATAACGGATGAGAAGGAGTTTTCGTTACGAAGAGCCAGCTGAAGCGGATGCACGGAAGGAGCGCGCAACCCTCAGCGACGGCAGTGGCCCTCGCGTCCTTCACATTCCCCCACATCCATCCCGTGGATTATGGGGAAGGCACTACTCCAGGGGTTCCCACAGAGCGGACCCTGGAACGAGGATCTGGGGATGCGGTGAAAGGGCAGCCCAGAAGCTGAGTCCAGAGCTGTGGGCGTCACCCCAGAACCTACAACTAAACCAGTCAAGGCCAGTCAAGAAGTACCCGTAGTGGGCTGGGCTGAGCACTTATTTTTCTCAGAATTCTGGACCTCTGGAGGAAAGGAAAGGGATCCAGTTGGATATATAGTCCTTCTTAGCGCCCCCTACGTCTCTCCCCAGGGGTAAACCCGGCCTACACTGTTCGGAGTGAACAGTGGATAGCTCGGTACTTCACAATTAACCGGCAATGGGAGGTTTGAGCAAGTTTGCTTTATGAAGTAATAAAAATTCTAGCTTTGGTCTTTTATTCATTATTTGAACAATTACCTATTGCACACCTATTACGTGCCAGACAGTAAGAGCCTGGATAGTCTCTCCTCATTTTTCAAAGTCGCTAAACGCTACCAGAGGGCATAGGGGAGGCCCGTAACCTAGGAGTTCTGGCTCCGCCCCTTCTGCGTTTGGCCTTCCCTGCTCCTCCCATCACTGCTTCACTCAGAGGCGGCTACTGGCCCAAGACGACGACAGAAACGAATCTCTGATGTCTACTGCATTCTCCAGCTTAGGGCCTCAAGCCCAGTAGCAGAGAAGTCGAGGTCTAATGTTACACCACCGATCTGTTTCGCCTCAGTTTCGGGGTCCATCCGGAAAGCTCTCAGATAGGATCCTCAGTGAGACGGCATTCGATTAAATCGGTCTGTCTCTACAGGCCAAAGAGGCGGGTTTGGCCGCGGCCGCTCCTAGGCCAAAGCGAGACGACCTTACTGCGCACGCGCAGTAGACAGCCGATGGAGCCACCAATGGAGCCGTCCGGAGGGGAGCAAGAGCCCGGAGCCGTCAGGTACCGAGCACTGGAGGGGCAGAGGGAGGGAAGAGGGACCCGGGGGAGGGGAGCTGAGCCGGGGCAGGGCCTAGGGGTTGCTCTATGCGCAGGAGCATAAGAGGGGCGTACTCGCAGGTAAGTGGCCTGAGGACACCAACGCCCCTTTACCCGCAGGCTCCTGGACCTGCCCTGGGAAGACGTGCTGCTCCCACACGTCCTGAACCGGGTCCCGCTGCGCCAACTGCTCCGACTGCAGAGCGTTAGCAGGGCCTTTCGGGCGCTAGTGCAGCTGCACCTGGCCGGACTGCGCCGCTTCGACGCCGCTCAGGTGAGCCGGGGTCCGAAGCCCCGCCCCCTCATGGTACCGCCCCCGCCCCGCCTCCAGCCCAGCCCCCAGCCCAGCTGTATACACTTCCGGACTCCCTTGGGCCGCCGGGGCTGCCCGGGAAGCGATCCACGCAGCAAGGAGTACTCCCAAAGGGCGAGCACTGGGTAGCGACTTAAAGGGAACATGCGGTCTCTTCTGGGAGGGCAGGTGGCTGCCAGGAAAGAACTCTTCAGGGGTGGACAGGCAGCGCCCGTCCCGCCTGCTGGACAGGCTGAGTTGAGCTGCTTCCGCGCCCTCAGGTGGGTCCGCAGATCCCGCGGGCCGCTTTTTCCCTGCTGCTGCGGGACGCCGAGGGGCTGCAGGTGCTGCTGCTGGCGCCGTGTCACGAATGGCTGTCAGACGAGGACCTGGTGCCGGTGCTGGCGCGGAATCCGCAGCTGCGGAGTGTGGCGCTGGCGGGCTGCGGGCAACTGAGCCGCCGCGCGCTGGGGGCGCTGGCCGAGGGCTGCCCCCGTCTGCAGCGCTTGTCGCTCGCACACTGTGACTGGGTGGATGGGCTGGCGCTGCGCGGCCTCGTGGACCGCTGCCGGGCCCTAGAGGAGCTGGACCTCACTGCCTGCCGCCAGCTTAAGGACGAGGCCATCGTGTACCTAGCGCAGAAACGCGGCGCCGGCCTCCGCAGCCTCTCGCTGGCTGTCAACGCCAATGTGGGGGACGCCGCGGTCCAAGAGTTAGCACGGAACTGCCCGGAACTCGAGCACCTTGACCTTACCGGCTGCCTCCGCGTTGGAAGCGACGGCGTCAGGTGCCCGGGCCTGGGGGGGATGGTGGGGTGGAGGGAGGGCAATCACTCAGCCTCTGGGGGTAGGCGAGCTGTAGTTGTCAAAGGGCTGGACTGGGGGTTCTGGGTCTTCCTGCTAACCACAGCACCCCAATCCTGAACCGAAAATACCTCTAGGATTGCCCAGGCCAGGGAGCCCACAGTTTAAAAACTTTTAACCAGCACTTACACATTGGAAGATTTCACATAGAAAGTCGATTTCTGGCTTTTCTTCAACAAGGGGTAAAATGTACAATCCTAGGTGGAGCTGAGGAGCAGGTACCCTTTTTATTTTTTATGTATTTTTTGTAGAGAGTAGTCTATGTTGCCCAAGCTGATCTCAAGCTCCTGGGCTCAAGCAATCCTCCCACCTCAGCCTCCAGAGTAGATGGGATTACAGGAGCGGGCAACTGCGCCCCACTTAGGTTTCCCCTTTAAAAGAGACCAGAAGTCTCCAGCTAACTGGAGGCATGGAGTATATGTCCCCAAGACAGGCCTCCTCCCTTGTGTAGGGAGGAAAAAGTATGCCCCAAGCTGGAGGGAGACCAGGACTTTCCTGGAGCCAGTCCCAGGTTGAGTGGGTTTGGGCCCCACCCCTTCCCCTGCCAAAGGTGCAGTGGCCTGTGGTGGCCTCGTGCCCCTATCCTCACCCCACTCCTCTCTCAGGACATTGGCCGAGTACTGCCCCGCGTTGCGCTCACTGCGGGTGAGGCACTGCCACCATGTGGCCGAGCCCAGCCTGAGCCGCTTGCGAAAGCGCGGCGTCGACATCGACGTGGAGCCACCGCTGCACCAGGCCCTGGTACTGCTACAGGACATGGCGGGCTTTGCACCTTTTGTCAACCTGCAGGTCTGACCCACCTGCTGGTGGGAGCACAGCTGGACTGTGTGGCTGGGGCCTGACACTTGAACTGTAGGGAAACTGAACTGTGGGGACCTCTGGTGAGAGGCCAGTGCCCTGCCCCACCCTGGAGCTTCAAATAAAGAGCTTTTTACCCCCTCTTGCCTGGTGCTGCCCTGTCGGAGACTAGGGGATGTGAGGTTGGGGAGGGAAGGTCAGACAGGCATAGTATCCCAGCCCTGAGGTAGAAATGACCAGAATGCACTCACACCTTCCTTGGGCCACCTTTACTGTGCCCATGGAGGCAGCCCCGAGAGTAGGTTAACACTGTGGTGCAAGGAAATAGAGAAGGGGGATAAAGAAGGGGGACAGGAATTAGGGAGGCCCCTATGTGGGGGTGTAGGGCTCCTGCATCCCTCTGGGACCTGAGCCTAGAAGGCTCCAGCAGAGTCCGCCCAGTGCCTCAGTGGAAGCGGTACTTTCTGGCTGGCTTGAGGTTGATGTATGTCGCCTTCATCTCCTCAGCCTCAGGGTTCCGGACGTCTTTGAATCGCTCCCCTTTGGTGCTCACTACCTGGTTGTCGATGTATCGGATCAGCTTCTTGGGGGCCTGTCAGGCAATCAAGCAGTGAGTGGCAGGAGCAGGGGCCAGGAGCCAGTCCCACCCATTCCACATCCCCAGCACCTCTCACCTCCTTGGGAGCCATGGGCCGGTGAACCTTCTGATCCTCTGCGCTATCCACCATCATGTACCTGCCAAAAACTGGCTGGGTGAAGCTCCTGTCACCCTGGGAAGACCCTCCAGGGCCCAGCCCACCCCAGCCCAGACTCACTTCTGCAGGATGAAGGACTTCAGCTCATCCTTTTGGGGGCCTCTGAGGCGCCTGGGCAGGTCCTGCAGAGAGGGGAGGCCTGGTGTAGGCCCAAGGGCACCAGCAGGGGAAAGAGGGAGGCATAGGTAGGGGTGGGGGCTTAACACTAAGGGGGAATGTAGCTGAGGCTACATACGGCAGGTAGGGGACTGGGAGAAGATACCTGGTTGGGGCCATCCCAGGCTGGAGGCCCCTCTTCCTTCCCCTCTACCAGCATCTGCACAGCTTCCTCCAAGTCACCCCGAGCTTTGGCCAGCACCCACTGGGCCTGTTCCACGGAACAGGTAGGGAAGACCTCCAGGAGTACATCTACCCCTGGCAGCAGCTCCTCTTCAGCGCTGGCTGCCTGTGGGCACCATGTTAATCAGAGGCAGTACTTCCTCCTCTCCCTCCCCCTCGGTGCCTCATCTGTGCCCTCCTCTACCAGTACCTCATCTTGGGTGTCCCCAGCAGCATCAGCAGAAGACCTGGTCTCTCTTTTGAGCTTTTCAGGCCGTTGCAGGGGCTCTGGGGAGATGGGCACCTGGCTTTGCACACCGGAGCTCTGTGGTTGCAGGTTCTCTTACAGAGACAGAGCATCTGGTTGGCCAGGGCTTTAGGGGGGGCATGGGGAGTTATGTATTACTCAAGTGCCCAAAGCCCCAGACTTACCTTTGTTCCTGGCATCACTCAGCTGCCCTGAGAGCTTCTGCATCATGTCCCCTATTGTGCCCCTGAAAAGACAAGGAGGGTGGTGAAAGGACAACTCTGCCCTCCCCCCACAAGCAGCCAGACTCCTTCCTCCTCCTGACCCCTGCCAGGTCCCACCTGGGGATGTGGGCGAAACCAGGCACATAGGCCTCCATCATCTCAGTGAAGGCCTCCATGTCGAAGTTCTCCTCTGATGGGCCTGCGGGGCCCAGATCTTCCAGGACCCCAAGCACATAGGAGAAGATGACCTCATCCAAGCCACTGCAGGAAGGAGACAGGACAAGCCCTGGGTAGGACACTGGATACCTCCAGCACCCCACCTAGCCTGAGACTCCAGCCCTCCAGCTTCATGAGGTCCTTAAGCTAGACCTCAGTCCTTGAGGCCAGAGACTATCCCACCCTCCTTCAGAGCTATGGTTTCACATCTGTCCAACAAAGATGACAGGGACAGGATGAGAGGTCAGGCCACCTCAACAAATGGTAATCGGCCCTCCCCCACCTCAGGAATAGGGCTGAGTGCTTTGCTCCCTGGTCTCTTCACCAGCCAGGGTCCAGAGTACTGCTTGGCAGTGCCAGCCCTGGCCCTAGCGTGATCCCTCTGGGGCAGCTGCTGCTACCTGAGGTCGGCCTCCGGGAGGTGCGTCTGGACAAAGGCAAGGAGGGCTGCACTGACAATCCTTTCCAGCTCCATGCTTTCTCCTCTTCTGAAGGAACACAAACAGACAGGATTGCCAGGCCCTCTCCTGCCTGCCCCCACCCACTGGGCCTGGGGGCAGCGGCTCCTCCCTCCTGGCCTGCCAGTGGAACCATCTGTAGGTGTCTAGATGTCACCCTCCCTACTGCCCCAAGCAGAGCCACAGCCCCTCCCCCACCTATATCTCACCTCCTGCAGCCTGATACACAGCAGGGCACTGTCCCCAGAGAAGGCCTTCAGAGGGAAGCCCCCCCCACACCCTTCCCTCTCCCTGTCACCCTCCCCCATCCCATTCCCCAGCAGCAGGCCTAGACCCTCTGGCAAGAAGCCAAGGTCTTGGGGTCACATGCCTCCTGGCTAAGGAATCCCATTATTGACGGGGCCACTTGGCCCCCAAGTCTAATCACAAGGGGCCCCATTGTCCAGCCTCTCAAGGAGCAGACCTTGGGACCAAGCACAGCACTTCCCCCACCCAGAACATGCCACCCACCTTCTGCACAAAGGGGCTTTTCTGGCTCTGGGGCCCAGATGGAAGGGGAAGTCTTTCATGGAAGTCTCTCCTGTCTAATCCCTGCCCCTGCAGCAGCCTGGGGCTATCAACAGAGGATTTTGCATCCTCCTTCCCAGGGCCTCCGGAGCCCCACAAGATCCCTCTCCCACCTCTCCAAACTCCCCACTCCTGCCGCACAGACCTCCTTGCTGTTCCTCAAGCCTGCTGAGCTGCTTCCTGCCTGTCTCCCAGACACGCACTTGGCTCATCCTCACACTTCCTCCAGGCCTCTGCTCAAATGTTACCTCCTCAGAGAGACCTTCCCAGACTAACCTACTAAAAATAAGTGTTCCCCATACTCCTGAATCCCTTACCCTGCTACACAGCACTTCTCAGTTTAACATTATTTTGAGTTTATTTGCCTATTGTCAGTCCGCCTCCATAGAATGTGGGGCGAGGGGGACACTTTGTCTTACTCATTGGTGTAGCCCTAGAACCTAGAAAAATGCCTGCACTTAGGTGCTTGATAAATAGTTGTTGACATATTTCATCCCCACCTACATGATTTTGATTCTCACAAGTCTGTGCCTGGAAGTTAGGAACACGAGGGTGGTAATGAATGTTTCCTGACCCACAGGTCCAAATGTCAGCTCATCATCCCACTCAGAAGGCTCTGAGGCACCTCAAATTCCGCCCACCCCAAACTCATATGTTCTGGTCTGTTCACACCCTCCCCTACCTCCTGCAGTGGCCTGGATGAGTGTCATCAGCTGATACCACTCACTCAGCTGCCAAACCTGAAACTTGGGGATTACCCTTGATTTTGCCCTTTTTCACCCCCACCTGCGGCACCCAATCACCAAGTCCTGTCAATTCTATTCCCTCGTTATTCTCCATTCTATCCACTTCTTCTCATCTCCAGCCTGGCTTCTGCTCCAACATCTCTACGAGAATTTCTTAGCCTGAGGTCATCAGTTACTTTTCAGGTTTCGGTGTAATTAGGTTGAACTATATGAGCTCGGCAATTTTGTCTGGTTTTGTGATCTACAAAAAAAGGGCAATTTCTCATGCTTTCACCTTATTTGCCCTTTCAACAGCACCAACTTTGGTTTCTGAGACATCAGACACTCCTGGTATCCTTCTACCTCTCTGGCCATTTCTTCCCAGGCTCCTTCTCTGTCCCCTTCCCCTCTGCTGCCCTCTAGTCTCGGGAATTCCTCAGGCTTAAAGCTGCTGCTCCTCTCTCCTCACTGCGTGCCCGCTGTCTCACGCCTCCCTGAAGACCTCATCTGGCCCACATTTTTATGTATCAGCTCTACGTCACCAAGTCCCAAATTTTCAATCCTCTAGTCCAGTCTCCTCCTCTGAGCTACAAACCTGGGACATCTACCTCCCTGACACAGCCATGTGGACGTCTTCCAGGCATCTCACGCTTAACATGTCCCACACTGACATTCTCTCAAGTTTTTTACTCCTCCAAGGCCATCCTCAGTAAATGCATGTCCAGGCACCTGGCTGTTCCTGCCCCAAGTCCTATCCTTGACACCACCCACCTCTTGCTTTCCCTCTCCAGTCGGTCGCCAAGCTCTGACCACTCTCCCCACATCTCCTCCTCTCCACGTCTCCTCCCGCTCTGCTCCATCTCCTGCCTGCAGGAGCTTCCTAACCCTTCTCCTGACAACCTATTCTCCACATCATAGCTGACTGATCTTTACAAAATCATGTCTTCTGCTTAAAGTCTAGCAGTGCCTTCTCACTACCGTTTGGATAAATCCAGAATCTTTTCATGGCTTTTTTTTTTTTTTTTTT